GAAGCGGATCAAGCCGGGTTTAAGATATGCGGGGCCGAAATCCCACGGTTCGATATCTACAGTGTGCTCGGTTCGGTAATCAAACATCCAGCTCAGCTCATGGTTCGATCTGAAGATACACTCTTGACTCTCTTTGTGGGAGTGGGGCATGCATGAGGGTAAATTAGTGGCCCTTTATATATTTACACAAAAGTAATAAAAAAAATGCTCGGCATTTTCGTGGCGCCGAGCCGAGAGAGACAGAGACGACGACTCAGTACTACTCACCGGGTCATGTAGCGCAGAGCAGACCGCCTTGACTACAGAAACAACATCGGTGCTGTTGGTGAAATGGCTGAGTCCAAGCAGCCCCTTGAGCTGCTGCAGCCCGATCACGATGGCCGCCCCGCCCATGAACCCCACGATGGCAGCGTGCGACAGGAAATCCACGAGAAACCCCAGTCTGGGACGTGACGAACCGACACAGTCACACGAGTAAGAGTCGTAAGACCAGACGTCTCGACGTGTGGGAGCAGAGCATGTTGTTTTGCACGTACTTGTGTAATTAAAAAAGACGAGTGCTTGCTAAGCGGCAGACCGTACCTGAAGAGGCCGAAGGAGACCTGGAAGACCCCGGCGAGGAAAGTCACCGTGAAGACGAGCGACCTGTAGGTCGCCGGGTCGGCGGCCGGGTCGACGACCTTCTGGATCATCGACGACAGCAGCAGCGAGACGACGGCGACTGGGCCGATGGCGATCTCCCTCGATGTCCCCATGACAGCGTAGATCAGCGGTGGCACGACACTTGTGTCTTTCAGAAGAAAAAAGGTAGTAGTACGAAAGAATGAGTGATCTAGAGAAAGAAACATGGCGTGTGCTTTGGCGCAAGCTAAATTGTTCTGAACAATCAATCATGGAGAGGAGGCTTGTGATTGGTACTTACAAAGACCGTACTGAGGGTCCAGTTTGGCTAGATTGGCGTATCCAATGCTCTACAATATCATATCCGAGATCCAAAGGAGTCACATGTCAGATAAGGACGAGAAAAAACTCTACACTCACATGTCACATCAGAAAATTTCGAGGAAAAATCTATATATGATCCTTGAAGTATATGATGGCTCCTGACAATAGTAAGTTAGTAACTGATGTTGTCTCATCAGGATTCATTGCTTTAGAGATTTAGTGCAAGAAACACTTGTCAGTTGTCACCTCAAGACGTCCTGAATTCAAGTAGCTTGGTTTTTATTTCTTGCTGAGATCACTACTCAACAAGTAAAGACGTGTGTAAAGTTTTTGAGAGGAACCAGAGCTAAAACTGACGCGTGAATTGAGCAAGCAAACGTGTGGCATGACCGGCAGAGCCGCCTACCTGAGGGATGCCAAGGCTGGCAAGAGTAAGGCCGGCCATGACGTCACTCCTGAAGGACTTGAGGGTGTAGGTCCTCCCCCACTGCAGCACCGGGAACACGCACTGCAGCGCCGTGAGGATCCACGGGCAGCGCGGCGCCCGGCCACCGCCGGGGGCGCGTGGCCGGAACGCCTTGCCGACCACGCCGACGAGCTCCTCGCGCAGGCTCGGCGGGCTGGGGCTGTTGAGCACAAGCTTCGCCGTGTCTGGCCGCTTGTTGGATACCTCGAAGACGGACACGGTAGCGGACGACTCGACCGCTGCCGAGGCCTCCATCACTGAAGGCTGAATGAAGTGTTTGGGGAAACTCGGGAGCTGGGAGCTCCCTAGCTTTAAAAGGGCTTTTGGTTCTGGCGGTTGGACGGAGAATCTTGCAGTGGGCGTGACAACGATCAGAGGAAGAGGCAGGCTAGAATTCCTCCCCTCCTGTAAACATCACCGGCCCTGGGAGACGGATCACATATATGCATGGACGGCGATATGATTCTCTGGCAAGAGGCCGGTTAGAGGAAGAAGACATCCATCCCGTCCCCGTGCATGGATGAGCCCCGCCCCGGCCGAGGGAGGAAATGCTCACTTGCAGGGGTGTGGATGCCGGAGCAAAGTTGGCATGTTGCTATATATGGGCTGCTCGGCTGGGTGTGGTAGACTGGTAGTGGACTGCTATGGACCATGCCACAAAGCAGGCCACATGCATCATCGGTCACCGGGGTGGGCGGCGTTTTGGCCTTTTCCCCCAACTGCGCCCCCCCCCCCCCCCCGCGATGATCGAATGTGCTGCTGCCAGCGCGTTAATAGTACTCCCTTTAGTTTGAATTTATAGGAAATTTGACTTTTTTCTAAATACGTACATTATGTCAAAATATATAATAAAAATAATATATCTTATAATTTAGAACGGATGGAGTACTACTATTTCATTTGTGAATTAGACCATGTTGAAGTGATAAAAATAAATGATACTAAATCAATTGGAATAAAATAATATGGAGCAGATAAGACCAGAAGCAAATAAGACATTTGTCTCTAGGAATTTGCATATCTATATATCTCTTATAAAGCTAATCTTCACTACAAGTTCTATCTCAACATATAAGCTATCAACATCATCTCCCACTAATAGTTATGTCATCCCACTAACTTGCAATCTCTTAATACAAGCTATCTAATCTCCATGAAGCTTAAGAAATATAGAAAGCATCTATATATTGTTGTTTGTTTTGCCATTTCATCGTCTTATAATTCGGTCTAGTTCTGCTAGTTTCTTTATTGAATTCATCCATTGCCTTGTCCAATTTGATAAGAATGTATGTGACAATATGCAGGTTTAACTCACACATGCAATATTTCTAAGAAAGTCCTGCAGCAACGTGCAGGGTATCTTTTTAGTTTATTTATTTTCCAAACCATCCATTCCTCAAGATCAGGAAAAGGATGCGCCTAGGTTGATTCAAACATATGAGGTCTTATTGAAACATTAATCATTTGAGGTCACAAACTCTTTATGGGTTCAATAAGTAGGGAACACTAGATAAATCTTAAGTGCACATCTTGTTAGTTGTTTTGTCATTGTAACTTTGGGAAATGTGAAGTTGCAAAATAATTCCCATCTATAGAGATCTACATAGTGGGATGTTAAGGATCACAAGTGATAATATCTGCTTTTGTTTGACATAGATTGTAAGTCGATGTCTACAATGCATCAAGGTGAAATGCAAGGTGTAAAAATGATGCAAGCATTGGACAAAGAAATGAGCAAAATCACCCCATGTTAGTGTGAAATGCAAGCACTAGAAGGTCCGGTGACCTAAGATTTGCACGAATTGGAGTATAGAAGTTAAACAATCAAGAACACATAAGAAGACAGCATGTAATGTTCAGTGATAAAAAGAAATCAATACAATAGACTATTGCACAATGACCTTACATAGTGGTTGATTAGAGAAGAAGTCACACCGTATGATCCGGTGATAAAAAAAGTGCACAAACCAAAGTTGGGGTTGAAGAACATCAATATTCGAATGATAACAGTGGTTGAACCTTCAGTGTACAAGAGTATTACACCGTGCCTCCAGTGCTAGGTGGACACATGGCTGAAAAGCTCACTTGAAGGTTTGGTGATTAGGATGTGCACCGAGTATTGAACAGTGCACATAGGCCCATAGTTGCAATAGATAGTTTTAGGGAATCACACACTAGTTGATTTGTGGTGATGTGTAGAGTGTGTTAGGAAAGTGAACTCTGTATTGAGAGAAAGGGGGAAGCCCCAATATGTACATGTATAATATGCAAATGAACCCCTATACAAGTGGGAATATACAAGCACACACATATCTCTAACAGAGCAAACCACTGTATTAATCGATCTGCAACGACTAGTATATATAAGATTGCATTTTCATGTAAGAGAGATCCATGCCAAGTGCGTAGAGTGAGAATAGAGTCTGATTGGGCTTTGAGAGAGAATAAGAACTAAGTTCTCGATGTAATCTCAGGCTGTCGGGACCTTGGTGCCTTGAGTGGCTCACCAGCATTGTGGACAACCCTTTGGGTTGGTGTGGAGTGGCGGTGACATCCTGTTCAGGGACGAGAAGACCCTTCATTGGTGGAAAAGCTTCACAGTGGATGGTTGCAAGGTGATTGGAAGAGAAGGGTAGTTTGAGGCAAGCTTAGGTGGGTGGCTGACACTTCATTCCTTTTCTTGAGAAGAGCCTTTGTGGTGAGCCTGAGAAATTGACCGGAGTAGTTAAGCTATGTGATTTGGCACATATTCTCATTGGAGCACCGCGGACTAGGGGTGGGGGTTTGCCCACCGACACTAGGGCGTACATCCTTGCGTCTTTGTGAGTTTGTCCTCTTCTTTTTCAACTTTACTTAGCACATTTAAACATCCACATTTACTCTTGTTATTGTCCACATTTACCTTTCCTAGAGTGCCTTGAAGTAATAGGATTGGCTATATGCTGCAAACTTTTTGGGGTGGTAAGCAAAGCACTAGATTAACCCTTGTTTGCACATCTTGCTAGTTTGTTTAGGTTAATCTAATGGTCTGTTGAGTAGATTCCTAGATTAGTTTTAGTAACCCAATTCACCCCTTCTCTTGGGTCACGGACTCACGGTCACATGCTTAGATACACATGTTCCCTAGAAGCTTGTTCCACCACAAACACTCAAATAATCTGCTACATAACTGCTACATGCTCGAGCATTTGTTTGCTTAAATACAAGAGTGAGAGTGGCTAGAGAGGTAGAACTCAAATTCACGAGAAGTCTAATTAGCTCCCACAAAACATATACAAGGCATTATATCACTCCCGATCTTCCCCGACCCATTCATTGATTATACTAGAAGAATTCCCCGCGCATTGTTGCGGGAATTTAGAGACAATATTAGATGAGTGCAAGTGATGAATGAACGAAAGACGTGTTATAGAATAAAGCTAGAGTTTTGTTAATGAAATTTTGAGGCAGCCTAAAGGACACATGCGAGTTGCACCATAGTAGAATATACAAATATGGTTATATATATAGAAAGAAATTTTGTTGAAAATATAATGAATGGAGCCATATTGAGTGAGTGAGCTAATTTATTCTTTTTACCGGAATATTTTCACGTAGCAGCCTCATGATAAGAGTTCACCGAAACAGGGCCTGGAGTTGCACCACAGTAGAATACAACGATGGCAGTTGCTTGGTAATGTGAATATGTGGTGTCTTCACCCTGGCAGAACTCATGGAACATTGAAGAAGAGAACATGAGGATTCTGGATGCACAGTACTCGTACGTATGAATACTGTGACCTCAATCGTCTAAACTGCAGCAAATAATATGAGAGAGACAAAGATTGAAGCGCACAGAGAGAGAGAGCGCACGCCAAGGCAGCAAATGTGGCCATGGACGCCATGTCGCTATCTGATGAGTGCAGCGCCCTTTTATCAATTTGCTGCTAGCTACCTCCTAGATCCTCTCCCACTACCATGGCATTAACACTTAGTGACTTTTTTATTCTTGAATATAAGACGAAGTGCACTGTTTCAAGAGCCACTACCATGGCATTAATACTTAGTGACTTTTTGATTCTTAAATATGAAACGAAGTGCACTGTTTCAGAACCTGTACACGGCAAAAGGAGACAGTGGATGTGCAACGGTTCAGCTAGGTGATGACGTGGAACACTCTGGTGTTAGATAAAAATTGGTAGTGGGGTTTTTCTTTATAAGAGATATAGATTTCAGCTTGAAACCCAGAGTGGTGAACAATTTCTACTAGTTGGTGGACAGTTATGTAGGTATGGATAACTAGTAGAATTCTCCCATAAAAAATAATTCAAAATTCTGTACGAGTCATTTATGGACCGACATGCATGTGTCCTTGGCTGGGCCTCCATGGTGTAACACCTCTTGTTTGATTGCCATGTACCTAGTGAGTCAGGTCAGATTGGGATTGTGTTTGGTTTGGTGTACAGATGGATAGGATGACCTTGCATCTGGAATATGGTAGCTTTACCCTCCTGTTTCTCTTGTTGGCATTCAATCGAGCACCTGCTAGGCGGTGAGCGCCGGCGAGCTCTTCGGGGACGACGCCGCGCTTGAGGCGCCACAACAGCTCGCCGGCCATAGCCTCCACCATGGACACGAGTCGCCAACCACTGTCCACACGATGCATGCGCCGCCGCCACCATGGTGGTCAGCACAAGCTCCGGCGGCGGCGGCGGCACGATGCGCGCGTGGCCGGCTTGACGCGTGGCCATGGCCTCTTGCTTGTGCGTGGCGCTAGCATTTTGGGCTGTAATGAAATAACAGAGGGAGAGAGATATGGGACACAAGAGACAGGACAGAGAGACAGAGCATAGGTCGTTCGTGCTCGTGAGGTACGTCCGCCAAGGACGACTGTCAGAGGTTCGCTCGGCAACGACCTCGGCTGCTATTTATGAATCCAAGGGTATGGGGAGAGAGAGGAGGATGAGGGGGTTCCTGCAGGCTAGCTACCTCTACCGATTGCAGCTTGGAGAGGGAGATCGACGGGACGAACACCTTTGGTGTTCAAGAACAGAGGAGGCGGTGTGAGGAGGAAGAAGGTGAGCGGCAGCACGACGAGCTCAGCGTGGGGGAGGAGAGCATCTTGGCGTCGCGTTTTATAGGCGGCCGAGAGGAGCTGTGCCACCCGTCCGTCACCTCGGCCACCATGGTGGCCAGCACAAGCTCTGGCGGCGGCTCAGCACGGCGGCGGACACCACACGCGTGGCCGGCGGCACCTCCCCCTCGCCAACACTGGCACCATCCTCGCAGGTTATGGCAGAACCGCTCGAAATATCACGCTTTTAGAGGCGCTCATCTTCCACTAGACACTAAGCACCCTGAAAGTTAGCTACATCGAACAGTTCCGTTGAGCACACCCTAAGGGAGAACTCGAACAATCCATGTTTTTCCTCCAGGATCCAATAATGAGAACGAGTTTACAATACCTAGTCCATTTCATACAACAAGAGTTCTCAGAAATACATTATTACAATACCAAATTCAGAGTACGAAATTTAAACAGCGGAGTTAAAATAAACATCTAACGATAAGATACAAGGATCCGTCACCTGCAACAGGGGCAAATAAACCCTGAGTACACAATGTACTTGCAATACTTACCTGACTAGTGGGAATAACTTCCCGACTTCAAAGGATATGATAAGCTTTATGGTTTGCTGGGTTTCCTTTTTGCGAAAAGCAATACTAGTAGTGAATCCTTATGTAGGTGTTTTATTAGCAGTCATGATTAGTTCATTAGCTAACCATTCTATATAAGCACCTGTTCTACTTTCAAGCAAGAGTTGAGCAATCAAATCCATTCATTCCCTTTCATCTTCCAGTTCTTACTACGGTGCTAGATCATAGACAAGTAGTACCGTATCACACGAGGATTTGCGAACCAATGTATCCTAGCTGAGTACCCCGAAACACACGCCCCACTTGTACCCCAGGCACAAGCAGGCCCAACCCACCACTCTCCTATTAAGGGGTCTAGGTCCCCGTCCAAACTTGGACTCCAAGCCCCCACTCCTGAGTCCCGGACTCAATGTGGTGCTTAGACCTCCACCATCCCCATCTCCAATCAGTCAGTCCGGAAAGAGCTAGAATCCATGACAAGAGAGCAACGAGCCTTCCCGCTCTCATAAGCAAGTATGTGCTCAGGATAATAAGTCTGTGACCTGACTAGAATCCAATGCAACGGACGGTCCTTAACCGACACGGATAGGGAAAACAGTGTAACCAAGCTATGCCCTGTTGGCCGCGAGACACAATCTATTACACCCACCAATACCCGTACCATATCCCTACCCGGTCTCTATTTCCTTTCACTATTTTATCATGAGAGTAATAATAATAATCACCTATTGTGAGTAACGACAGGTTACTCACGCTACCGATAGCCTAAGCATAGCAGCTACTTGACCTATGCTAGTAGGACTCATGGTAGGTTTGTCTATGCATGTAGTTTCAATATAAATCCTGTAACATAAATGCACATCACATATATATATCCTGTGATAATTCAAAATAAGGGTTATGCACCGGGGCTTGCCTTGGGCAGGCGGGGTGTCAGCAAAGTCAGTCACTGGTGGCTCCAGGGATCCCTCCTGTATGAGAACCTCCTCCTCATACTCCCCGATCACCTCATACTCCTACTCGTCCGCGGTCACGAACTCCATCAACTCGTTCTCTACATGCATGCAATGATGATGCAACACTTAGTATTACGACAACATCAACTCTTAAAATAACAATACATCTACCAAGCTACTAAGCTAACTCTAATGACTAAGATGCTAAGCTACCCATCCTTTCCACTAAATAGGTATGAAACATTCAAGTATTATCATAGCAACTAAAATGCATTTCTTCTTTTATTAAGGATTTAATGTATATTAAAACAAGGAGCACCTAACTACCTAATATCTCGATCTATTCTAGGGCCACAAAAATTACAGTGAGCTCATAATAATACAATGAACATACTATAAAAATTTCATGAACAAAACTATTACCAATTTGCCCTAAAAATTCCTACAAATATTAACCTAAATAATGTTAAACACTCTCAAATGATTTAATAAGCCTTAGCATCAACTCAGACCTGCATAATCTAGTCATACCATCAGATAGACAACATTTTTAGGAACTCAACAAAATTTATTTTACAATTTTTGGACACCTATGCGAATTGATATTAATTTTCAAAGTTTAGCTCAAAAATTAAAACATAAAGCTATTTCTAATTCCTTAAGAAAAGGAAAAACGAATTCACCAGCGCGGCCCACAACCACGTGGACTCGGCCCACTTGAGCGGCCCAGCAGCGTGGCCCACGCACACAGGTCGGCTCATGGCGGGAGACAGCCTGCGCGCTGGCGCTTTTGCAGAGACGCCCCTGCACTAGCTAGTATTCGCACGGCGCTATTCACACTATTCCTAAAGACAACGACTTTGCAAGAACACACTCGCAATCTCCCTCTTTTATAACGATATGGTCCTCGACCATCCCCACGCGTGTCGACGCGGCGAGCGGTGGCACTGGCGCTTGCGCCGGCCACACGGAACACACGCTGACCTATCTACGAGGCCAACGCTCACCTAGGGTTTGATGCGAAGCGATGGGTGGTGGTAGCACGAACTGAGACGTAGTAGAAGGGCCTCTCCACTACGGCGGGCACCCTACAGCAATGGCGACGGCGTTCCAGTGAGCCACAGTATTAACAAGGCAGTAGGGATAGTGGGTGAGTAATAGGGACTCACCACTGACCTAGCGGAGGTGATGGTTTGACTGGAGATGCCTCGAGCGAGCCTAACCGCATGCACGCGGCGAGCTCGATGGTGAACCACAGCGACACGACCATGCCAGTGGCAAGGAGGCAACGTTTGAGGTGTGTCTTAGGTGCGCATGATGAGGAGAGGTTCTAGGCGGGGCTAGTGGTGCAGCTAATTTGGCTCAAGACGTTGAGGAGGGGACTGGCCACGGTGAGGGCGATGACGGGTCTTAACGGCATGGTGGTGGGGCGAAGCTCCAAATTGAAGCTTGGCCTTGCACGGTTCAAGTTTGGGTGGGGGCGGGCAGTGAGAGGACATGAGAGTGTAGGCGCAGGCATGTGGAATTGATGGGGGATGGCTTCTCGCATGTAGGCGGGCTGGCGCGGCTCGGCAGCGGCAGCAAAGAAGAGGATAGGTGAGGGGTGGGAGACGGTGGGGACGTAGTCAATGCTCGGCCTATGCTTGCTTGGCAGGATGCGGTTGACGTGACTGGAGCGACCATGGCCGGCACTAGCTGATGACACGCGCTCGAGGTTAGCGTGGCCCGTGCGTCGTAGTGCCATAAATGGCATGACGACGGTGGTTCGGCCTCGTGCGTGCAGCGTCCAGGCGGGCTAGTGGCGTAGCGCAGTGCAGCGATGCGATGACAGCGACAGCAGCGTTGTCGTGGCGTGGCACGGAGGGCAACAGCAATGCATGGCAATGCAGCAGGCGGGGCAGCACGATGTGGTGAGTCGGGCAGCCATGGCTCTGTGCGGCGGTAGCCTGAGGTGGCCAGTGATGCGGCCAGAGAACGGGCAGCTCTGGCTGGCCAGCGTGCAAAGAGCGCCAGGACGTAGAGGCCGCTCAGCATGGTGATCGCGTCCAGCCAGGAACAACAGCTCGAGAACATGCTCTGCATGGATTTTAAAGTGTTCGAAACAACTACACAGTTGATCCAATCCCCAAACCAGCTTCACTACTCTAAAGAGGGCACCTTAGGCTATCAACAAGAGCTAAAGAACGACACCACTCTTAAACTCAATTTTTATAGAATAAAATACCAAACATAGCTTTATCAATCTATTTTTAGACTTAAGAAATTGACTAAGTCTTGAGTTGGATTTGCTT